CAAACTTCTTGCAGTTCACTGCCACTAGTGGTCCCTCTCTGCCCATTTTTTCTGGGTGGATTATTTTACAGCAATTGTTCTTGCAACTTCCCCTCTCCCTCCTCCATTCAGCAGCAGAGGCTCATGCTGGCTCCATATGGGACTCCAAGGTAAGATTCTGGGTTCAGTCATGTTTGTCTTTTGGTGAGTGGGGGCTCTGCTAGGGAAACATCTCTGGTGCAGTTGTGGCTCCAGCAACAGTGGCGTTGCTTATTAGAACAAATTTACATTGGTATATCCTTACATTGGTATATTGCTAAAGCATGTCAACATAAAGCTGAATTGCTGGTATTTCTACCCAGCAAAATGATTTTCCAAAGTAACTTAAACACAAGTAATAAATGAAACCCTAAGATGTGAACCCAGTGAACCCAGAAAAAATATTTAAACTAGTAGCATTGAATGATCAGCAGATAGAAAACAAATTCACACAGTGGAAACAGCTGCCTAGAGAGATGATGGTCTCTCCCACACTAGAGATATTCAAAAAGAAACTGGACAGCCCTCTGAGTGGGGTGGTGTAAACTGGTGTCCTGCAACAGCAGGGAGTTGGACTCAATGGTTTTCATGGCCCCTTCCAACTCTACTTTTCTATGATTCTATGAATTCAGTTCAGACATATGGTATACTGTAGTCATTCTGTACCATTTCAGAATGTAGTTTAAAAGCCCCTCTTCGAATGTTCTCTTATGTCCAAAATGTGATGTAAAATATTCTGCAATGCAATGTTAACATAATGACATGGTTATCTGAAAGAGCGTCTCCTTCCCTATGCGCCTGCCCACTCCCTAAGATCTGGGTCAGAGGTCCTTATTTGGGAGCCCTCTTTGGAGAAGATTAGGAGAGTGGCTACCTGGAGAAGGGTCTTCTCCATGGTGGTGCCCGGTTGTGGAACATGCTCCTCAGGGGTGTGCCTGGAGCTGACGCGTTATTCTTTTTGACTCCAGGCCAAACCCTTTTTATTTTCCCATTATTTTATGACCCGATTCCTATTTTAATCTGGCTTTTATTATAGATGTGATGCTGTGCCTTTATTGTTGGACTGGCCTGTGACTTTTATGTATAGGATATAAAAGTTTTAAATAAATAAATAAATGAAATTCTTCTTTGCTCTGTTATGTTAGATTTTTGTGCGTATTTTTAAAAATGTGATTAACATTCCAACATACAATCTGAAAAAAGTACGTACACAGTAAGGTTGTTATTATAGCTCTGAACATATGTGGTGGCCCTTATGTGCTTTGGGACAGGAACAGCATGGTGAGAATGTACCCCATGATTATATTGGCTGCACTGCCTGCAATTTCCTCTATCTGAAGAAAGGTAGGCAAGAAGCCAGTGTAGTTCTGAATGCAACTATAAAAGGGCAAGTTTGTTTTTGTTCGCTTAATATTTGTGCCAAATAAATATTTTGCACCTTCACAGTGTTGAGGATCTTGGGTACACTGAATTTTAACAATGCCAAAGAAATCCATTTCAGTTCAGGTTGTAATACAATGAAAAAGTGGAAGAATCAAAGTTATGCATGAAAACCACTGCAGCTGGTTGGTTGAAAGATTTAAAATGCAAAATTTACATTGCTTGATTTGGAAAGCAGTGATTAAAGGTTGACCATGACTTCATTTCACAGGCATGAGTGTTGTGAATTGTATATTTCTTCAAATAGTAAAGGGTTAAACAAAAGAACATGAGGACATGCTCAGAAATAATAACATATAAGTGCTTAGTGCTGCAGTCTGCACAGGTTCAGAAAACAGTGGAATACACATATGAGCATTAGATGCAGAATCAACATTACCCACAAAACACCTAATTTTCCCTAATTAGAACTCAACTCAATTTCACAGACAGCACAAACCTCATTTACACAGTGCTGCAGGCAGAAGTACAACGTATCTGCCTTTCTTTGCCCCAGTTTCTGAGAGAAGGGCCATCCAGCCCTGAAACTTAACATAACTAGCAATGACTAGAAGTTATCTAACCTTTGAATACCATACTTCATTACCTAAAATCAAACATTCCCAACCCAGAACTGGTCTTTGGTTGAACTTTAACATTTTTTGTAAATAGGAAAGGTAAATAGGAAAAAAATATTAATCACTCGATGCTGACATACTCTCAAGGCATATTTTCAGCTACAATTATGTGTGTCTGTTGAAACATACTAGTTTATCAGAGATGCTGTTAATTTCCCCTTTCATGAAGGCTTACATATATTTTTTTTTTGCTCCCATTTTTCTTAAAATCTTCATAAAATGAATTTTTCTGTTAGTTCCTAGTGTTCCTAGTTCTGTGGGAAATTTACCCTAGTTGTTAAATTGTGAAGTTCTGACTTTGGGTTTTATAAGAACTGTTATAAATTATCAAACTTTGCTAAGTTTCTTGATAGTTTATACCATTCTTATGAACATAAATTGTATACATTATTAAATTATCATAAAAATTCTATTTTCATGAGATGTTTGGTGATAGCCCCACCTTGACCTCAAAGCTATGACATATGTATGCTCCTATTAATTTAGGTCCATGTCTCTATATTAAGACTGTTTTTCCCATGTAAAGCTTCCTGAAAGTGAGAAGACACTTAAGAAATATGCTACAAGATTCTGAGAAATGTGCTACAAATGTAAAACTGGGTGCATGCAGGAAGAGAATGAACAAAGGAGTCTTATGGCATTTTGAAAACCAACTGGTTTATTGTAATGTAAGCTTTATGTCCTACAACTTGCAACTCTGGATACAGTAGGCTTTGCTCATGGTATTATTTATAGAGCTATGAGTTATTAAAGTCTGTTGAAGGCTAATATAACTATCTCCCTGGATTTTGTCACCAGAGTAAGGATCAAAAGCAAACTAACATTATGTAAAAGATGGATCAACTTAGATAAATGCAAGCTACTCTTGCATTAATTGTTTCCCAACTGTTGAGCTGGAACACTTAATTAGAAAGATGAGAGGCTTATTTCTCAAAGGTTTACAGCTTGATCAGACATTCCCACCTAACCTGGTGAGAGAGAAGGACTGCCAAAATGGTGCTCTTCTTAACCTCTTGAGCCAGAAAGGAATAATTACACAGAAAATGGGAGCCGATATAGATGAATACCAAAACAACAGTGGAAAAAACAAAACAAATCTCATGCACACACCCATGTATGTTTCCAGTTAGAACTCTATCTTGAAAAGGGCTAAAATATATCTTAGAAATACCATAGAATATGAAATATGACTTCAGACCTCAAAAGAAAATGTAAGGGGGTCTGAGAATGTTGACCATGACCACCCCTTCCCTCCCCCCACCCCCGCCCGCTGCCCTGGTGAGACAAACCAAACTGCATTAGCTTATTTGATATAGAAATTATGCTCTGGGGTAACAAGTTATTTCAGATCTGAAATAACTTCAGAAAGTGGAGTTTTGCTAAACCATTAAATTTAAGTATATTGGAGTTTTCACTACGATACAGCATCCATGACTGTCATCTTGTGTTAACATACAAACACAAGCAGCTGGCCTAGCTAAAACCATACCCTGGAGTGCATTTTAACCTAGACTTTTATATGAAATTTAAGAAGGAGGAAATGCTCATTTGAACAGGTTCTGTTATAACTGTTATTACCAAATGTACATTAAGCATTCCATAGTCTCTACATGCCAGGACTGCCAATCAGCTTGATCAGGATAAATTATGCATGTTGGGTAGCTTTGCTAGTCAATAAGGCACAGTCCTTATCAAGCCAAGTTATTTCACTTTGTCTTGAAACACACTGCAATAATGCTGCTGGAACTGAAGAAAAATGCTACCTTAACCATGAAGGCTGCCAGCATAGTGATGTTAATTTTGTGAAACCAACAGTGTGGTTGAAAAACCAAAATTAAATATATGATTGTTGTATATATCTAGCTCTTTTCCTGAAACTGAAAGGAGAATTGTATCACTCTTTCAAAAACTGCCAAAATAATGAAAATATGACACTGGAATAATACTGCATAAAGCAGGCTAGTCACACACTCTCTTTCCAACAAAATGAACATAGAAGAGTTAGTATAAATTGCAATATTTACCCATTAGGATTGCAGACCAGAAGGCAGCAGAGAGAAGCCAAATGCTCCTTCATGCATTCTTCTTTTCTTCTCCCAATGGTAGAGAAGCAAATGACACAACTGGAGGATTCCATCTGACCTACTTGCCTGTGGATGGATTCCCAGGACATGAAAAGCACAGTGGTTCTTTTACCCCTCTGTCATGTCCTCTGAACTCTGCCATGGTACTTCATTGTGGCATGTTTGGTTCCTGGAAGTCACGGAGTGCAACAGAAGCCTGTTCTATGATTCCCATGCTCCACCTCAGCTTCTCATGGTATCCAAACCTGGCAAGCAGCTACCACAGAGTCCCCTGCAAGGAGTGGCAGCTTCAGGAGCTGTGCCAGCCACCCCACATCTCCTGTCCCACCCTGCCTAACAACGGATGCCTCAGTGCCCGCCTCACTTCAGCACTGCTCCCCACTTCCATCCCCATCAGGCTTCTCTGCTCTTTTCCAGATGGTCACCTATTGTTCTGTCACTCTCCAGCAACAGAGAAGCTGCCACACTGCCTGAAACAGCTTCCTGCGAAGCACCTGCACTAGGCACTGCTTGCTGCAGTTCTCACAAACACCATGTATGAGTTTCTCTGCCTTTGGGTTTCAGGCAAAAACATATCTCCCCTTTCTGCAAAGTTGCTTCTCCAAACACAGGACATACACGGCACGGCAAACAGGGAAGTGCCCTTGCTTCCTTTCACTGCTCCACCCGTGTCTTCGCCACACACCAAGGGGCAATCAACAAGCCACTGGTCCTGCCCCCTCCCCCTGCAACAGCAGCAACAACACATTCAGATGTACTTGCCATTGCACCGCATGCCATTTCAGAGACACCTTCCAGTGAGTAGGATCCAGGTGCCTTGAATTTCTTATTCATTTTGCAGGTTTCCTGAGCTGGCTGCCTATGAACTATGTTCAAGATTATGTGGTTGATAGACAGAGCCCTAAACAACTTGGGATGTAGACCAGCAGATCACCTTTCTGTCTTATACTGAGCCGAACTTTAGGACCACGCAACGCCCTGCTTGTCATCCCGATACCAATGCAACACTGCTGCAGAATATCTCAGGGGTGGCGCTTCCCGGTGGTGGAACACCCCCTCCCATCATAGTGAGACTGAAAAGGGGGTGTGTCCTGAAGTGCACTTGTTCACCCAGGTTTTGTCCAGCTTGTAATTAATTTGAATTAAGCATACACTACTCTATTTTACCGTTCTTTGTGTTGCCTCTCTTATTACTGTAGCCAGTTTTAACAGTGTATTTTAAATGTTGCAATTACACACAGAGAGAGTACCCAACATTTTATTTCAGTAAGTATTTAAGTGAAAGAACATTATTATATTTCATTAATGAAATAAGTAGATCCTCCTGGTACATTTTTAAAGTTTTGTTGATATATATATTCTGTTTTATTTTGTCTATTTCTTACAATGTTTTAATTGCTTTTTATTAATGGTAGTATTGATATTTTATTGTTATGTCCACCCAGAGAACATTATGCCAGTGGGTGACTTTTATGCAATTTTAATTAATTAATTAACTAACACACACATCCCCCCAAAAAACCACCACCACAAACAACAACAACAATAACAACAACAAAGTAGCACAGAACAGCTCAAAATATCCTGGGACAAGAATAAAATGAAGTGTGGTATTGGAACGATGCAACTGGAAAGTTACTAAAGTCTGATAGGTTTAAATTTCATTTTGTTTGAGGCAACAACCCCTTTAATTGCCATTAATGGTCTGTTTTAGTGAAAGTCATTTCAATTGTTTCTTTTTTCACCTGCATTCAAATTAAATGAGATTTATTGGTTGATGATGTGAAAATTCTTTTACTTTAATTGTCATAAGGGATGAATTTGTTTTGACTATGTTATCAGTGTGTACAGATCCATTTTCAACCTTAATGCATTTTTAATAACTTTTTCCATCTGCAAATGATTTGAATTTTAAATTTCTTTCCATAAATAACTTAAAAAACAGCTTTTAGAACAGCTGTCATAATACATACTTATTTTTATTTATCCAACAAGACCTTTCTTAGAGTCAACATATCAGATGATCCATCAAGCTTAAAAATGCCCTTAAAAATACTGTAAACGGGTCTAGAGGACCATAGGATCTTTTGGATTCCTATTTACCAGGATGAAAAAGAGCTTTAACTTCTGTGCTGGCGATCTGTGCTTGGGGCATCTTCTCCTCACCCAATATGGACACAGGAAGAATCACATCTCCAAGGGCATAAGAGGGATCTCAGAGAAAGGAAAAGGGGGATTCTGGGGGATGGGAAGTGGAGGAGGCCAGTGATGTCAAGATATGGTGCATCTTGGTGACAGCCCAGCATTTTTCTTCCCCTCTGAAGTGCTACAGTTGGTCTAGCTACTTTGCAAACCGAGAGACGTGAACAGCCAACTCTGCGTTCCTTTCACCCAGCATTAGATGCCTATAATCTCCCAAGTCAGAGAGTTAAAGCAGTTTCATTGCACTTCACCCCTAAAGATCTTTTATTGCAGCATTCATGCCACAGAACCTGGCCCAGCACCAATAATTTGATTTAGACGTGGCTGAGTGATTGCCAGGTCTGGGAAGTGGCTGGCAGGTATCTTTGGCTAGACAGCAGGAGCAGAGATTGTAGAGGTCTTGGAGGGAGGGCCAAAGGCAAAGGCAAAGTCAGGAACAAGTGGTGTCAGCTACCAAGAAGGCATGGCAGGTCCAGACTTAAAGGCAAAATCAGAAGCAGGTGAGGATCAGATACCAATAAGATGTGGCAGAACCAGAGGCCAGGCAAGGAGGGAAGCAGCCAAGGGTAAAATACAAACAAGACATGGCAGAGCCAGAGACAAATGGAAGCTGTGGGCAGATGCAAGCAAGGCAAAGCCAGAGAGGACACAAACAGGTGCTTAGCAAGGCTGTATAGGCTGGGGGCAAGAGCGACAGCAGGAGCGAGCAGGAGACAAGACTAGAAGCAGGATCAGGAACACAACATTGCCACACCACAAAGGCCTGTGTTGCTGTCACAAAACTGAGCAGTTCAAGAACCTTTAAGGGCTTTCAGCTACACAGCCTGATTGTACAGGACTTCAGTCCTTGCATGGACCTACAGGTCTGTTCTGGATCCTGCAGGCATTTGCTACTCCATCTTTGGTTCCTGACAGTGATCATTATTGTCCACGGGAAACACCCCACGTTTGCCACATGGGTCTGGGTCTTACTGCAGAAGAAGCAGAACCTGAAAGCTTCCTTGAGTTTTACAGAGATACTCATGTTGTTATTTAAACTAAGCTGTTATCTATTTCTCAAGCCTTCCCCGCGCCCCCGCCCCCGGTATCACATCCTGCATAAAACATTTGGATAGTATGCTTAAAGTTTTCTAGTGCTATAATATTTCACATCAAAGACTCTCTTGTTTTCCTGGCTTCTATGATGATTGTTTTAAAGGCAATGCAGCTTTATATGGGGACATTAAAATTTAAAGCTGAACGCATTTAAAGAAAAATGCTATGATACTAATTGCTTGACAATATCAAGGAGTCGTCATATTTTGAGCAGTGTTCATCACTTTCTAGCTTTCTGATCATAACCAAGGAAAACAAAATTCTGAGGGCTTTCTGCAGGACTATGTTATTCTAACCAATGTTAATAGTTATCCTAGCCAAATGGGGTTTGCTAGACATCTTATTAAACTAACGTTTTTAGGCTGTCTCTTAATTACATTCCATAATGATGCAACGTGAGATTAACTACCCATCCCCTGAATCCACTTTTTGGTATTGTCTATTTATCCTCACTGTGTATAAGCAGCCATTTATGTCTCCCATCGATGAATCCTAAAGCAGATATATAGATGCATCATCATGGAGAGTCTCCTTCCATGATTTGCTTCCCCATTCTCTGCAAGGTAGTGGAATAACTTTGTTAAGGGTAGTTCCTACAATGAATCTGGGGTTAAGGAAGGCTTCAGAAAATAACCATCAAAATTGGATACATTCAGTTGTTGAATAAAGTCAGTAACTTAGGCTTCTCCTGTGCTTATGAACTTTCCCTGACTCTTTCAGTGTAATCATGAGGAGCAATTTGGAAACTACTGTTTTTGATTAACTGCAGCTTGTTGTGTCATCTGAATCCAGAAATTGTAGTCAAACATGACTATGCTTTATTTGAAATAAACCAACTTCAAATCTTGTAAATTGGTTAAACTGGCTTGTTTCAAACAAACCTGAGTTAAGGTTAACGCAGTTTAGGATTCATTCAATATGCTGAACTGCAGGTAATCTAAAATGGAATCTCTTCCTCACACAGGAGGAGAGGAGGAAGAAGGAGCATGCAAGCCTAGGATGAGGTTTCGGTCATTCTCCTAATGCTAAATCAGAGTTCATCAGCCTCAGGTTTATTAGCTTTCATCCAGCTCTGACTAGGCATCAGTTCAGCATGTTTACAACTTCACATTATTCAAGGAAAAGTACAGAGGAATATCATAAAAATACTGATTGATTCTAATTCCATACTCCAGGTTAACTCACCTAGATGCCTCTTACAAAAGTTTAAAAGTGTGATCAATCAGATCCCGAAAAACCCTGTAATGAAATGCCACTGAATTGAGCAGCACCATCTGGGAGTATATGACTATATTAATACTCTAATTAAAATCTTTATTTCTATCCTGATTCCAAATGTAAAGTTTACATCATTTGCCTATCCAGTAGATGTGCATTATTTTACATTAGGCTTATTTAACAATTCAATCCAAAACTGGGTAATCAAAGGCTAACTTTTCTGTCATCAAGAGTTACTACCGCCAATTTTTAAAATATTGAATGGTCTCAAAATAACTTATCTGATGGTGTATCAGCCATCTGTACTAGCATACATTTAATTTTTAGCATTTTACTTTCCAAGTCCAAGTTCCATTATTTCTTTTGTAGACACACAAAATAGGGTCCACACAAGGAAATGAACTTTCAAAACCATTTCTGAGGAGCCTCACAATACAGAGACCCATTCTTTTAATACGTTCTCATTTTAAGTTTATTATGTGTGAATTAAGTAGGAATACTGAGATTACCCTATTTTTTGTAAACACCTTAATACTTGGAGATGGTTCACACATGAATCTTTATTATTTCATAGTTCATAGTTAGATTACTCCAACACTTGTTTAAGTTCAGACATTGTGTTTGAAAATATGATCAATGTGGGTGGTGTTTTCTCAGTGTCTTTGCTCTTCACATATACAAGAAGCTTGCTATTGATATTTTGGAGCTATCATTAAGATACTTTCTTACATTTCATCATGTCCAGTAGATAATACTGTCTTAGAGGAAGGCCCATATTTTAGGCATATTTGAAAAGAACTTCATCCCAGGCTAGTTTCTCCTTATCCTAGTTTCTAAGGAAACCCCTAGCATCCATTCACATTGGATATTCAATGGACTGTCTCCTTTTTCCACGAACTGAGATTGGGTGGGGAAAGGCTAAAGAAATCTCTTTCTTCCTGCTGTTCCTCCTACCTAGGGCTAATTTGGTTTCTAAACACTGAAATAATAAAAATAAACACAGACTTCAAAGAACTCCATGTAATGTGTTGCTGCAAATATAGCCCACCAGCTAAGCTTTTAAAGAAGAAAATTGAAATAGAAAAACTAATCAAAAAATTGCAAACCTCTGATACATATCAATCATTCTTACATAAAACTTCTGATAACCATGGAAATCTCAAAATGATTTAACTCATGAATAACACGTTCATTAAGAAGAGTGATGTTTTTGGTCTAATGTAAATATCTATACAATGCCAGTCCTGCCTGAGTTGAGGATAACTAAAAAAGTTCTTCATGGTGCAGTTAATTTTGTTCCAAGCTCAGTGATCAGGAGAAACAGACAGTGTTGCATATTTTGACAGAGTAATTTCAGATTACCAGTAATGACAAAGCTGAGCACATCATGTGAAGACAAAGCCCCCTGGAAAAGACAATTGTACAAGGGAAAGTTGAAGGCAGAAGAAAGAGGAAGACCAACTGTAAAATGGATTAAATCCATAAAGAAAGCCACAGCCTTGCATTTACAGGAGCTGAGCAGGGCTGCCATGGATAGGGCATACTGGAAGGCTTGTGTTCATGGCGTCACTTGGTGGCACTTGCAAGCAACGAGAGGTTCCAAAACTTCTAATCCAGGGCTTCAAAGCAGTGGAACTGATTGAGGTCCACCAATCACAAAAGGTTGATAGATGGAGAAAGACTTTGGTAATTCAACTGGTAATTCTTGATCATAATTTTAAATCATTACCTAAATCTTCTTTGAAAATTTCTGGATTCTTTCCCACATTCTTCATTCTTGCTTCCATGTAGCAGGGAGCTGCATAATTCAGCTTTTGCTAAATAGAAGCATTGACTGTCTATTCTTTGGCCTCTATATTTTGGAAGGAATTAGCTGATCCAGAGACTTGGAGTCTGGATTTCCAACAAGGTGCCCACCTCTCTTAGTGCTTATCAGGCTCCCTGTCTCTCCTAGTTTAAATATTATTTAAATTTATTTTAAGCTGGGGGCTGTCAGGCTATAAAGCAGCATCTTAGTATGGCTTCAAAAGAGCAGTTTTGTATTTTGCAGCTTAGCCCCCATCCTCAGTTCTGTTCTTGGATTACTCATTTAAATTAGTCTTGCCAACTTGCCTCCGGGGAAATGAATACCTTTTGTGTGACCATGAGTGGGTCTTGCATGCTCTACGGAGATTGAAGGACTGCAGTTGGACCTTGCCCAGTAGCTGTGATAGGTCATCTGCACATGCATAGCAGCCCCAAGCTGCCTACAACCAAACCCTAGCTTCACTGGTAGCTGTGGGGATGCTGAAGGCAGGCTCCTTTCTCTGAATGGAAAGCTTAAATCCACTGAGAGCATCACAAACTGAGCTAAAAAGAATGACTCCTTGCACTTCTACTGCAAATCCCTCCCCTGCTCTTCAGCCCATCAGAACAGTTATAGAAATGTTAGGCATAAAGATATAAATCATCATTGTTTAGACCAGCAACATAAACAAGGCAGAGAAAGGAGAGAGAGGGTACACTTTGATTTTAATGGTGATTATGATAATGGTATAAACAAGAGGGATGGGAAGCATCATTCCTGGTTGGCTGGAACTGGAGGGACAGTATACAGGCCAACTGTGGCTGGAGGCTTTAAATGGGCAAAATGCCAGGGGCATCTCTTTCCTCCTTTCCTTGTGAGAACTGTAGACCTGGTCTTTTGTGTGCTCTGGTTGCCCTTCCATCTTCCTGCATGGTCTTTTGGGTACATTGGATGCAGTGGACCAATTCTCTTTTTATTCCCAAAGAATTGACAGTGCAATGATTTAAGTGAGTTTAAACTTGTTGGACTACAACAGGTTTGCAGAAATCCTTGCAGATGGAGAAAGAGGCATGCAAAGAGACATGGCTGGAGAGCTATGTGGGGTGGAAGGAAGTGTGGTATAGGAAAAAAACTGGAGTGCAAACATTGGGTGTAGATTTTAATAAAAACATGACCTGTTAAATTGCTTCAAGAATCTCTGAAGCTTAAAAAAGAATAATAAAAAGCTCTGAATATTTATGAAGAGTCCCCTTTGATGGCAGCTCTGTCTAGCTCCTTTTCTACCCTTTCTGTCCAGTGGACGTCCTTCATTCTTGGTCTTTCGGTTCTGTCTGGTGGCCATTTGCCTCAACTGGTAAGAGATGGAAGAGAAAACTGTTTTGTATCCTTGACCAGTGCCTGGACACAAAGCAAATCCTGTTGGTGATAGGTGGGAAGAGAGGCAGGAAATCCCACTTTGTGTAATGGAAGTTAGTCCCTAGCAGTTGTGGAGTTTACAGGCCAAGAGAATGGGTTACTATAGTGTACAATATATTCCCACACTCTCCCTTGTTAATGTGCCATGTTCAGTTTGCAGTTAGTAAATGTTAAAGGTATATACAGCTCTTTTTCCAGAGGTTCCATCTTCTGCATCTGAATTTGAACCTTAAAGTCCAAGGAAAAGTGAAGATACCTGCAGGGTAAACTTTAAGTAGGCACAGTCTGGAACATCACACAGGTCTGTCCTAAATGCAAGCAACCAGCTACATAGCTTGCATTCTGTAAAATTATGGTAATTCTTTCTAATCATGTACATAAATTTGCATATATGAATTATGATAATATGTGCAGAATTTGGTATTTAAGGGCCTGGATCTTTTCCATACCTGGCACCCTCCTGGATGTGTTTGAAATGTCCTCCAAATAAAAAGAGAATCGTCTATCTTAGTTTCCCCCCCTAGTATCTTAACTTTTGTGTACAGTGAGCCATTTAGATGGGATGGATTGAAACATGCAGTCCTTCGCCTGTAATCTGAAGTGCTTAAATTTCACAGGCGCTTACCACACAATTATGTTGTTTTGTATATTTTGGCTGAATTGCCATGCTCTAATTAGCTACTATGAAGTGCTGGAAGAATTTCATTATCTTTCATAGCAATTAATAGCTATGAATAAACACAGTTTTAGGCTTGCAGCATTAATTAATGAATCGGTTACAGGTGTTGTCTTGAGGTATGTGTAGAAGGAAAGTGTCCTTTGAAATAACATGCAACCATGTATTGGACAACCAGTGTAGAATAAGTGTCCTCATGCTAAGCTGTAACATGGCAATGTTGCTGTACATGCATACTTCAAACCCCTGTCAATCGTTTTTTTAACATAGCATCAGACATTCAAGTACTTTGGCAATAGTACTGTATATGTAATATTGCTCCTATTGAATTTTAGGCAATTGGTGAAAACTGAAAAGAATCATACTATTCTGTAGTTTTCAGAACACCTATTTCACCTACCTTGTGAAAATTTCTGAAATATGCTGCTTTTTCATCTGGAAATTTTTCTAGCCTTCTAGGTCCTTTACTGGAAGCTTTCTTGAAAACTAACCAGCATCTTCTGAAAATCTGCAAGGAAAATTAAAGAATTATATTAATCCTTGGTTCTTAAACTTGTGTATTTTAATTCCCAGAAACACAAGTGGGGAGTTCCTGGGATACGATGCAGAAAACCTGTAGCTTTATATTTTAAAGCATAACATTGCCTCAGAACTAAGGGTTGACACTTATAATGTTTCTCAGTTTAAATCCCCTTTTAAGATGATTTCTTATGAAAAAATACAGACAGGACAATCCAGATGGACAAGAAGGATTAAGTTCTGTCTCTTGCCAAACAGCCCTGATGTCTGCCCCACACTCATGCCTGCTTTGAACTCAAAAATAAGGACACACGGGAGTTCCTCATTACAGATCTTCTGTGTTGCTTCTAGGCTGACCATTAGCTTACACAGTGCTTTTTCTGTAAGAAAAACAGTGCCAGAACTCATGAAATTATTTAGCTTTCGCATGTGGTCAATCACTGTACACACACACACACGTCAGTTGTATAACGAAACATAATGGTTGCCACCCGCAGTAAGCACTCAGTGCGCGACCACATGACCAGTCACAAGCCAAGCAGCGCCACAAGCCGAGCAGCGCCATCACAACCAGCGTGGACGAAGTACGCATGCATCAGATTCGACACACAAGCAGCCCGCATGCACCATTTTAATGATTTTGCCGCCGACCTGCTACACTCGACAGGGTGATTCAAATCCACATGTACCAAACATCAAATTTTCAAAAGTTACTTTTAAAACTCAGAAAATCTGTAGAAAAAAGGTGCCGAAACTCCGTTCTGGTGCGTTCTATGACAAAAAAAGCACTGAGCTTACATATAGCAGACTCAGGACAGGCAGCCAGCATTCTGAGTCTAGCTTCACAACTAATGCGCAAGGCAGCTAATCAACTATCCAAGGTCAACCCTACTATTAGGCAGAGTAAGGCTTCAGGAGCCAGAGGCTGAAGAGCAAGAAGAGATGGCAAAGCACAGACTTCCCTAAACCCTTTAAGCTAGCCTGCTATCGTCAGGTGTGATGGAAAGCACTTTCCCTGCACCACTGTTGAAGTAAGATACAGCTAGTAGTCTGGTCAGCTTGTGTACCTGGAGCAGAACCCCCTTTTTGTCAATGGCCTCAGGCAGCCAAATACCACAGCCTTGCCCTGAAAACTCCACTTTGAGTTCAGCCTTGCCCTGAAAACTCCGCTCTCCCTGCTCCCATCTGCTTCCTCCTTTCTTTGCTCACCTGATACTATTCTCTCTGCTGTCTAGGAAAGCACTGGGTATTATATCACTTCTATCTCAGGCATCCAGTTGTAGAACAAATATGAATAGATCACCTACTCCCATTCCAATATGCTTTCAAAACGTTGTGCCCTTTCCACAGATCTTTTAATCAAAGGTACAAAGGGAGAGCAGTTTCCTGGTTACTGAATGTCCCCATGAATGCGATTTGCCTAGCTCTAGGACAATATGTTCATTTATACAGGCATTTTCACATATTTTACTGATTTACAGTCTGTTTAAACATTTTATCTGTCCTTTTCTTGTTTTTCTATTTGTTTTATGCTGCACACACCCCTGAAATCTGATGACGGGCAGTAATGAAACTGTTTTAAATAAGCACCACACTTTGCTAACTTCCCCTTCCAGTTACAGAGAAGGAAGGAGCAGGACTGAGCAAGCTAAGCCACATTGGAGGGAAAATAGTAAAGGACCTGAAACAAGTAGGTCACCTGAACGACAGGACTGCAATATGGCTGCAGGACCTTTTTTATAATACTTCTGCCTTCAGACATCAGCCTTTTCTCAGAGGGAAGGGTTTAGATCGTTAGCATTTTTGCAAGCCTTATAATCACATAACAACATTATAATGTAACAATATTTTGAAATATTTGCTAAGTCATTCAGTAAGATCTTTGTCTTCAGCTCAAACCCTTTTGACATCATATCAGTATGTTAATCACCTCAAGAACAAGGCTGTAAGCAGCTCTCCACATATGCAAAAAATACAGAATGCAGAGCGAAGTACAGTATGCTTCAAAATACATAATGCCACTGAATAAACCAAATCAGCATATTGGAGGGAAGAGGTTCTTTTTGCATGGTTCTTTCTCACATGTACAGAGTGAGTGCACATTCACACATTTTGTGTATACACAGGCTCTTTATGAATGTAAATGAAAAAAAACCCACTAAAAATGCCCGGTTTCTCCTTCCCTGCCATTCAGGAGTCCCCAGTTTTGCCTGCATGTCAGTGGAACTCCTGGATTGGGCAACACAGAACTTATAAAGCAACTAGAAATGAAGAAAAATGCTTTTTTCTTGAACTTAGGTCAGCAGAAGTCTCTGTAAGACAGTGGTCTCAAACTTGCGGCCCGCGGGCGAATTGCCGGGATGGGCGGGGCATGGGAGAGGGGCCCTGCAGCCTTCAAAGTGCCGGCGGCTCCCGGGCCGGCCTCTGGGAGCCACGCGGGATGAGCGGACCACCACCACCACGGTGGTGGAATACTTGATGCAGCCCAGCCTCACCCAGACTCTACTTCCAGCGGCCCCCGAGTAAGTTGAGTTTGAGACCCCTGCTGTAAGATGTCTATCCTGAATGACCAGAAATGCACAGTTCTACTCAGGCATTGAAGAAAACTGACAGGGAGAAAACCAATGCATTTGAAACATAATAAGGAGGGTTTTGTGAATATCCACAATTGAGAGAAAGATAAACAATTTGGTCCTGGATCAAATCAAGCTAGAATTTTCCTTGGAAGCTAAAATGACAAAACTGAAGTTGATGTACTTCAGGCAGGTTGTGAGAAAGAAGGATTTACTAGAGAACACAATAATCTGGGGAAAGATGAAGGCAGAAGAAGAAAAGGAAGGCTGATGATGAGACGGTATGATTCCATAAAAGAATCCTAGAGTTTACAAGAGTTGAACAGGGCTGCCAAGGACTGGTGATTGTGGAACATTCATTCATAGGCTCGCCACAAAGGCAGTGATAACCTGATGGTGTACACCAGCAAATTTGGCTGTGGCATGAACCGATGATGCCATTGGCCAGCATATGTCACTATGGACCTTGTACGGAAGCAACATAATACTGCCTTTGCTGAACAGCAAAAGTCTTTCCTTCCTACTTGATGTGCCTTTTTGTGTCTGCTTTTGGTCACAAAACAGCAGCTGCTGCCCTGTCACCTGTACAGACAAACTCCCCCAAGATACATAAAGCAGAGACACCAGTGGAAGACCAAACTGCAAGCACATTGACAAAATATTTAATTATGAAACATTGTATAAATATTTCTAAATGAATTATTTCATACTCTCCCTTTAAAAAAATCTCTCTTTCTGACCTAGTAATACATTTAAAATATAGAAATCAAAAGCAACCACCATTGCCGTTTTAGCATCTACAACCTATGGATGATGGGGACATAAGTAATAGTATCAAGCATAGTCACATACAAGCCTTAGTTATTAAAAAAAACCTGTTCATTGTCATGACATGAATTATTAAAATAAAATCGGCAAGGTTGCTACTTGATATTCTCCCCGTTTCATCATTCACAGTTGGTTTAACAAGTCTTCTTCAGAGTGCTAATTATTTTAATTAAATATTCAAAAAACAGACCAGCCCCTAACAGAATATAAATTATATCATATGTGTGTGAGCATTTCAACAGACTAGGAAACCATCCAGATGAAATTGGACTTGTGCTAGCAGACTGCACGGAACAGTTCCAGTAACAGCAACTTTACCCTACAAGTTTATCTCCCAGAAATAATGTTATAACATGGCAGATTTCCAGGAAACCTAATAGAAATTGAATACCCAGAGGTACTGCTCTTCATATCTAGTGGCTCACACAAAGAATACCTAATTTACAGTGGTTTCACTTTCTGGTCCTTGAATAACATCAGTCTTTTCTATGTTCTGTATCTCTAAGGAATTGAAATTCTGTGTATGCTCTTTGTTAATCTATCTCAGTGCTGTCAATTCTGATCATTTCATTCAACTCCTGTTCAGTTTAAACAAACAAGACCCACTTCATATGTTTATTTAGATAGCTTTCAGAAATGTGAGAAACAAACAAACAAATATAAAACCAAATCCAATTTTCAATTAGCAAAAAACAAAACAACCCCCTTTTCGATTTAGCATGTTTTATTAGGGAAATTCCATGTTCAGTCAGTTCCAAAATTACTGGAAATTACAGGTGTTAAAGCATCCATATATAGAGATATGGTATGGTATCCCAGGATGTGGCTATTTTCAATGTTCAATGTTGCCACTACCTTGCAGCTGTCAGTGGCAAAGGGGTAGATGCTGCCTTACCTATTAAAATATCTGGAATGATGAGAGGCAATCACCAAAAGGTGTTGCCGGAGAGATGGAGAAGAGTAGGGAACCATGGTTGGCGGGGCTACCAGGGAGTGATGAGAAATCCCTGAGCGTTGTCGTGAATGACCTTGGCAAGGGCTCTCATTGTAAGTGGAATTGTGGGGAACGCATAAAAGAACATGTTCACCCATGGGATCATTAGAGCATCTCCTTTCGAACCCGGACCAATGCCTACGTGGGAGCAGTAAATTTCGCACACCATGTTCATGTGAGTGGCGAACAGATCTATGTCTGGAGAGCCCCATGTCCGAAAGAGGTGATGCAAGGTCTAACGATCTAGTTCCCATTCGTGGATCGTCGACATCTCCCTGCTGAGTTTGTCTGCCTCCTCATTGTCAGTACTGGCTAGGTGAACGGCAAGGAGGGCAATCTCCCTTGGGATACACCAGTCCCACAGTTGAATAGCCAGGTGAGCCAGGGAAGTGGACCTTGTTACAGAATACAGTCACAATATTGTCAGAGGCAACCTGAACAATTTGCCCCCAAAGAGTGCCCTCGAATGACTGAAGGGCTTTGAAGACTACCAGCAGTTCTAGGTAATTGATGTGCTTGGCAGTCTCTCAATAGTCCCAGGTGCCCTGAGTCCAGAGTCTGGAACACAGGGCTCCCCACCCGGTGAGGGAGGCA